TTTGTTAAACAATTTGTTCAATTATTTGGGTTAATTCATCATAATTATCATAGCTCGTGCAGGCGCATTGATATTTTTCTTGCATATTAAATTTAAGTTAAAACTGTGATATTTTTTTGGAACTTACCGCAAGTATTTTCATCGGAACCGTCTGTGCAGTCCTTTTCACCATTACAGAATAGGCCACGTTCAATGCAATTACCATCACCGCAGGCTAAGAAGCCATCTTGACATAAGGGCTCGTCGGTATGCAGCAAAGGCTTAACACGTCTCTCTTTGTTCTTCGATTTGCAATTCTTAACCGATTCTTTCCAATCGCAAGTCTGTTTCTCTATATCGAAATATAAGCCGGCTGGGCAGCGTATAGCTTGAAGACCCTAAATTTGAAAATGAATCAAAGAAATATGATTTTAATTTTTAATAATTATTATATAAAATCTATAGTGTCCGATATGTGCTGCGTATTGTGAAAATCTTCTTTTATTTCTTCATTATACGCTACATCGCTTATATTACAGGGTATATTAAGGGCGAGCCTAGAAAGCCTTAAGATAGATCCATCTTTTTATTATAACGATCGATTCAGAAAATGATTTTCAAGCTTATCTGTCTGTCCATCTCACTCTTTTGTATTCTTGTGTTTAATTTATTCGAGATGTTTTAATGAAACTCGGTACATTAAAGTGTTTTGTTCCAAGGACGAAAACCATTGAAAATGATTTGAATCGGATTGCTGTAACAACACTCGCCATGTAACAATATTTCGACATTCTACTATATTGACATGAGAAGTTTGATGAGAAACTTGAAAAAATCGTATAATTTGATAAAAGGTATGATTTTTAATATTTCATGCTGGCAATTAGTCGGTAAAAGTAAATTGACACAGTAATCAAGCTTACAGAATTTTGACCTCGTATATGACGTTTTGCACACCATCGCGTACATGAGTTATCAGGAATTGGCTTATATGCCGAATAGGGCTGATTGTTAATGTTTTATAATGAATGTTGTTTGTTCGTAATAGTAGCCTGACATAAAAATGAAGCGTATCAAATTTGAAACATATGGGTCTATTTTTTGAATCCCACTTCCTGCAAGATTTCTTAGGATTTCTTAACTCCTTCAGAGAAAGATTTTTTTTTTTTAATATTTCATGATGACAATCGGTCCATCGTAGTAGTAATTTAGTAAAAAAATTAACGGTGGGGACTACGGATCACATAGATCGGCATAGGGGCTAAGCTAAAAACTAAAAACTTAAAAATAACATTTTTAGGAAGCAAAGTAAGTTTTGTTAAATTTGGACCACGCCCTATGATGTTTCGGGAAACTTCCAATATGCGGGCTTTCATGAAATGTCTGCCTCTGCGTGAAAATAATCTGCAATATTTCGCGTATCATTACGAAAACTAGTGAATAACTGTGCTAGACGAGCTAGCGCAGGATATCTAATGGTCGACTATGATCTTCTCATTTGTTTTATTATAGCTTACCGATGATGTACATTGTATAACGTCACGACAATTATCGCCTTCACCGGCCACCAAACGGAACCATTCACCGGCATCCTTATCTTTACATAATTCTTTTTCAAACGATTCTTCTTTTTTTGGTTCATCTGTGCTGGCCTGACGTTTAACACGCTCAGCGCCTAAAAGTTGAAGAAAACGTTATTAATTAAAAATATATTGAAAAAGAAAACAAAAAAAAAAAAAAACTAAAATGATAATAATGAATAAAAAGGAAAACAAAAAAAAAAAAAAAAAAAAAGCTGCAAATGCAAATGCAAAACTCTTTCAAAGAAAAGGAAAACCGGATATTATCGTTATTAGCATAACATTGTGCTACTTCTTATCGGCTATTTTATGGGCTTTGATGGCTGCTTTAATTGACTTTTTTTCCAGTTTTGTATACGATTTATATTATTATACGATTATTGAATGTAGGTTTTTACGGCATAAACGCGAGCCTTTAAACGTCAACCATTAACTTCCTGTTTATACGACATTAAAAATATGTATATGTTGTATTATTTAAAACTTGTACTATTCACAGCATGTCCCATAGTTTTGTGTAGAGTAGTGTACTGTAGTGTGCGAAGCATTATACAACTAGGTAAAGTGAAACCTCTTATTAAGCGTAAACATGATAATCGAATGTGTTCGTTGAATAACTAAAAATGCTGCCAAGTCTTAAATTCTGGCTAAGACTGCAATCTTAGCGCGATAGAGTTTACTTTCGTCGCAAAGCTATAGCGAGTGCGCTCGCTCAGTCGATATAGGCATAGCATTTATCGATTTTGGGGGGACACATTCATTATGCTGGCTAACACTTCCCTTTTTTCTTTGTTTTTTTTTTTTTTTTCTTTCTTCACTGCCTTCTGACCATCCCCGCGTTACCCGAATAGCGGACATCTCCTGGGTGATCGGTTATATAAAAAACAAAAAAAGAATTCTCATTGAAATGCCAAGTGCATCTAGTTGGGGCAAATCGCTTATTGATTGTAGAGACCTCTTCCTAGCTCCTTTGGGTCTCACATAAGACTTATAAATATATGCTTAACGAAATCAAAAATCAAGCTCACGTATTCTTGGCTTTAGTTCACGGATTAGCGTTGAAAATAAATATCATCCCTCATATATATATAGCATATACTTAGTAGGGAAAGCGAAAACTGACAAAATTTTGTAGAAATATTTACAAGGACTATCAAGTACGATCTTCATATTGAGCAAATTATGCTACATTTAGTAATGGATATCTTAAAACTTTTATCCATTGGCCCTATCACCTTAAGACGAAAGCCATTTTCTTCCTTGTCGTGGCAAAAGAAGAAAGTGAATTTTAACTGTCTATTTAAACGGATCGTTTCTATGCAGGCTTAGCTTCTACAGATAAAAATCGCCATTGCCAAGTCGGTGTTCGCGGGTCCAGATCTCCAAATGTAAAAGACTAGCAGCCACGCATTCACTATACTTCGGCCACTTTCCATTTCTTTCTCTTTGGCTTCTCTTTCTCTGCCCCTAACTCCGAGTTTCTTAAGCGTTAAAGTGACCAAACAAGCCCTTTGCTCAAGTTTCGTCAGGTGCGTTTCTTTTTCACTTCAGCTCAGTTCAATTCAGTTATTGTCTTCCATTGTTTCTTTTGAAGTCAGAGGAACATGTAAAATGTCATGCAGATGAAATATTATAAAAAAAGTGAACAATTGAACTAAAAAAGAAAAAAAAAAAAAAATAAAAAAAAGAAAACAAGAAAAAAGTTACGCACTTTTCTCGTAGATCTCAAAAACTACAAGGGATAAATTCTTATTCCGTTCATCTCAAAATAAGGTCAAACATGTCATCAATGGGATATATTGACCTGAAGTTTAGTAAAAGTAATAACAATCGGCACGCCCACAATTAAGGGAAATCCTTTACGCTATCGTATATTTTCTTTAAGCAATCAATTATCTACTATAGGGACTATAGCTGAATACTTGCTATGGAGAATAAATTCCGATCGAGAGACTTAAAGAGTGAAACAAAATCCGGTAAAATGAAGTTTCACTTTAAATACAAACGTATGCTTGTTTGTAAACCACATTTCTTACAATTATTTATATATTTTTTACATTTACTGGTGATGGGGCGACGATGGGTAGCGACGGCAGCAGAGCTGGCGGTTATTTAGCATTTGGTACAAAATGACACCGGCTTGTTACTTATTTTTGTTGTTGTTGTTGTTGTTGCCGTTGTACATATATATTCGTAAGTGTGCTTAACAACACGTCAAATATGTTTTGTTTTTTCTTCGTTGGTTTTTCTATTTCAAAATCTTAAATACTGGTTTTCTGTTTTTATTTATTTATAATGTTGTTTTTTTTTTTTTTTGTTTTTATTTCTTTTTTAAATTTTTTTTTTTTTGTTATTCTTTTAATTCTTCCAATAACACGGTTTATCTGCACACTTTATAATTTATGCATAATTAAATGCTGATAATACTTTGATATTTACTGACTTTGGTTGCATCCAATACTAAGACGTTGCCTACTCTTCTATTCTTCGAGAGCTTAAGTTGAAGTCTGTCGTGGTTGGCAACAGTGAGCAACAATATGACTATATAAGAATAACTATATAAATATTTATAACAGGTTAATGCATTGAGTGGACTACTGTTCGTAAACAAAAAAAACAAAAAAACAAAAAAACAACAACAACAACAACAAAATAGCCTGCACAAGTTTAAAAGGAATGCGTTGTAAAATTGTAAAAACGTTTTAAACGCTATATCGTACGTATCGTAGAATGCCCTCACATCGTTTGCTGAAGCATGGCCCAACAAAGGTTTTAGCTGTTGTTTCATTAACAGCAACAAAGACTACAAAAGCATTAATAGTAATAATCATTACAATACTCGTCTAATGCTTGCTTAATTAATGTAAAACATTTTATTTTTTACTTTATTGTTGTTGTTTAAATTTTTATTTCTTACTGTTTATCATCATATTGGCTGTCAATAGAGTAGCAACATGCAATCTTGGACTTTGTTAAGTAATGGCCTTATATGCACGTACAATACAAGCATACATAAACAAGCACACAGATGCAGACATATCTAATTGCTTGCATGCGCTTGTCACTCGCAAAGCTGCATACAATCATTGATGAATGTCTTTCTCTTTCTCTTTCTCTAGCCAAATGTCAAAGTTTTCATTGTGCAGTCGTATAACCCTAGAGATAAATAACCTTTATAAACTATTTGTCAAATATCTTTAACATCCGCGTCTATACATATACAAGTAGATATATATATATAAATATATATATATATATATATATATATATATATATATATATATATGTGTGTGTATATATACTTAGCTAAACTGAAATTTTAATGCATATAACATATTTCTTTAAGTGTGTTTTTGTTCAGGTATTTGTTTTGTGTCCATGCAGGTAGATAGGCATCCATATGTAAAAGCTTTTAATCTTTAAAAGTGTTGGCGAAAAAAAAAAAAATGAAAGTTGTTTAAACCGCTTATACATTTGCCTTAAAACACATAAAACAGCAAAGCGACAGTAACAACTAAATGTTATTTTGTTGCTTTATTAACTACGGCTTTCTGTTTATCCGTACCTGTATGTGCCTTAACTTTGCTATTATTATGGTCAACAGTTGTCCTTTTTGTTATCAAGGTTGTTCGGGAAAGGAGTCAACAGAAGCACATATATATTATTATTAACATAAATAAAGACAGACACATTTACAAAGTCAAAAACTGAATCAAGAAAGTAACTTAAAATACATGAACGTAGCGATAACGTAGAGAAACTATGCAATTAAATGTTATTCGTCTTCATATGAGCAGGCGGCCTAAATTAGATCTTGAACTCATTCCAGATGTCTATCGAAATCTATGCATAGGCATATTTTTAGTTTTATCCTTTTTCTCGCTTTGAAATTGTGTATAGTGCCCCCGCACACGTCGGTACCATAATAGGTTGTAGGTAAGTGTTGTCAGTAAAGTGGTGTAAAAAAAAAAAATTAATTGATAAACGTTCGAGTCATAGACGAAATCAATAGTCGTCAATGCAATGCGATTAAAAACTTGATAGAACGGATATCATTAATGACCTTGCCCTGGGGCATATCAAGTAACTTGCTTTAGAATGAAATTTTTCGCAATTTTTTACAATTTCCTAAACCACTTCTAATACAGAGTTTCGGCATTTTTTTTCTCATGCGATATAAATTTCTTTTGGTTTTTATTTTTTTTTATTTTGCTATTATTCGATGGGAGATCATCTTGTGCGCTATATAGAAAATAAATTTGAAAATATTTCCTTGCCGATATATAGTTAAACTTTACCAATTAAGCACAAATCGCGATCAATACTCTCCTAAAATATTGGCATAACTTTCATGTCCCCTCGCAATTTGCGGTTTTCTGTGAGCTTAATAGAAGCGTCAATGGGAATCCAACTATCAGCAAGAACGATCGGAGTTTGCGATGTGATAAGTTTCAAAATAAAATGCTCATATATATATATATATATATATATATATATTTATATATCTATACATATATACATAATGCATTTATTCCGTGAATTTTTTGGTTTTTGAAACGAATTTCATATCCAAACTTGGGATAAATGCGACTTTGTTTAGGTCCTAAAGTCTGATAAATTTTTATTGTAATTACATAAGCTATGTCAGTTAAACACACGTAAGTAGATCTAGATAGATCGAGCGTATTGGAAAACTATAAGATTTGTTTGTTGTAGGCGGAAAACACTAGCCTCGAATAGAGAACTTGGATCTCTACTCCGGGAGACAGCGAGTTGGGAATAGAACATACAAATAAACAAATCGTTTTGATCTGAATTTTATCTGCGATCGTAAATATCATTGCGAGCAACTTGGCGAAATGAATGAGTCCGCTTTCTAATTTCTGATGTCACACTAAGACATTTTCCTTTTCTCTTATTTATTATTAGGCATAGGCTTCTCCTGTGACACTGACTACTTCTACTGATCTGTAGTCAGCTATTCAGCATGTATTCACTTTGTGAACGAAAGAAATATTTAACGTAGCGTTATTCGCTTGCCTTCTACAGTGGGTAACTTTATTAGCGCTAAACGATTTCTGAACGATGAAAGGCGGATGTTCGGGTTCGGGAGCAATAGAAGCTGTTTCTGCATGGACCCAATTTGCATACGGTAAAGTACGCACATAGTGTAGATCCCAGTTAATGGAACCATGTCCTTAAATAGGCTTCAGTAGTGATGTACATATTAATATATTGATGTTATATGAAAAACTGATTTTTGCCATTAGTAAGTTGATCACTGAACATGCATACTTAAAAAGGAATGGAAACCAGTTCGGCCTTTAGGTTGATGGAGTGCGAACCCCACCTCTATAGTAACCTCAAGACATTTATGTCTTTCTCGTTTCACTATCGCTCGTTTTAACCATTAATTATTATTTTTTTGGTTATTACTAGTGAGGAATATCTTTATGTAACAGTCCGTCTTTTGCACTTGTTGTTATTATTTTTCCCTTCCTTGCGCATTTTCCGCACTTTCTGCTCAGCTTGTTGATCTTGAAAATTTTAATTTAACAAAAGCCATATGCTTGATTCACTTTCCAAACAAGGATATCGCAACAGGTACGACATAATAATTTTATTTTGTTTGCGAGATAAGCCAAATTTGCCTCAGGACAAGAATAGCTCATCTCATTGTCTTCTGTGTAGTCGAAATAGCAATTTATACGCTTACAAGCTTATCAAAGCTGGATTTTAAATATCAAAGATATGTTCGAAATTTATTTTTTATTTTAATTTATTCTTTATTATTAGTATGAGTTTTGTCGCTATTTTCGTTGCAAGCATACGAAAGTATGCGATTTTTCGAAAGAATCTTGTACCAAACACTAACTTAGTGTACAAAGATTACATGAGAGTGAGAAACTCTCGCATGACACATAATTTCAAAGTCAAACTAAATAAAGCAGTTTTTTACTATTATGTCTTTTGCTGAAAGTTGAGATTTTATTTAAAAAAAAAAAAAAAAAAAAAAAAATTATCTTAAATGTTTTTAGCATTCTACGCTCATTAAATTTGAAAACAAATTTATGAAAACATTTGTATACAAATTATGATTTTTTACTTCTTTGATTTATTTAACTCACCTGCACTAATAGCCACAGCTAAAACAGCAAAGACTACAAAAAGTTTTGCCATTTTTGTTGTTTTTTCGATAAATGTATGTTTATGTGTTTTTTTTTTTTCGATATTTCCTTTCAAGCAAAATAAAGGTAAATTAAATTAATTTTTAATTTTTTAACTTTTTCTCTTGTTATAAAAAAAAACAAAAAAAAAAAATGATAACAAAGAACTAAGAAATTAAGAGACGCGTTTTGAAACAAGAACTGAAAAAAAAACTTTACGTTTTTTCTACTGTTTCTGAAATGATTTTCAGACGTAAATTAAACGTTTTTGTTTTTTTAAGTGAGAAATTTCTATCCTTGTGATCGGTAACAACGTTTCATAAATACTGAATGTTTTTTGAAACGCGCCGTATAAAAAATTTCTCGAACTTCTTTTCAAAGTTAAAGAGCTAACAACGATTTTCTTCTTCTTTTATTACAAAACTTAAAGGCGAAATCGCTGGCACGTAAGTGGTGAATATCTTTTCAATGGAGTAAATACTTATAAAAAATTACTCTTCTCATTTGCTCTTTTTCATTTATTTATTTAGTTATTTATTTATTTTTTTTTTTTTTGCTGTTTTTTAAATTTACTTTTTGCCGCGGAGTGCTTTGGAATAAAACAAAAGCTTTCTCGTTTGGAAACGAACCGAGAGAATGTTTTTAAACCGAGGGTTTGTTAATGTTTTATTAAAAAAAAAAAGAAAATTTTTTCTTTGATTTTGATCTGCACTTGTTTTGCATTTTATTGAAAAATTAAAAATAACCGTTGGCTTGAAAAACTACTTTTTTTAAGGAGTTTTGCTTAACATTGCAGGCTTTTCCGTTTCTTGATTTGTATTTAGTTGTGCTGGCAGTAAGTACGTAACGCGACGTGCCACAAGACACGAGAGAGCACCTTGCGCACGTCAGCAGGCTTTTTATAATCAAATTCATGTCTCAATGGAGGGACAATGAAGCGTGGTGAGTTTCGCGCTAGAAAAACGGGGGCTTAGGTCATAGTTTAGTTCTCTCTGGCGTATGAAGCTCCTAATCTCTCTCTTTTTCTCTCCTTCTCTCACCATCTCTCTCTCTCTCTCTCTCTCTCTCTCTCTCTCTCTCTCTCTCTCTCTCTCTCT